CGCCGGAGGGCAAGATGGCGCTGACTCCTTCGGCCCCACCAGAAACAACAACCCTGGAGATAAAGAAGAACGAAGTGAAGCAGGAGCGGTCATACCATAAAGAGGAGGACCCACCTCCGTACCCGGCTCGCAGCATATATCCTTCACTTAAGCCCTGTAAAGATAACGGGGAAGGGGGGCCGGTGGAGGAAAGCAGTACAACTTCTAGCACAGTTGATAAGAGGGTCCTTGAGAAAGGAGAGATGTCTGGGGGAGCTGTGATACCACCTGTGGAATGCGACAGTGGGGGCGGGACTCAGCTACTGTCCGATTCTGCCTGCTGCTGCAGCCACCCCCCACGGGGCGTGGATTGTCCCGCACAGCGTTGCTGTGGGGGGGGCGTTCCGACGGAGATGGCCTCAGGGTCTGCCCAGGAGGGGCGTGGTCCCGTATCGACAGCTTCATGGGGCCCGCCTACCCTCGCTGACTGGGCTCGAGTGAGGGAGGACATACGGGCTGCAGATCCAGCAGGTGTCGCTCTCACTTTGCCAGTGGTGATGAGACCAGAGGGTCCAGCTTGGATTCCTCTGGATTCCAAAGCGGTTACTCGTCTTGCGGATTTAGTTAAGAGCAAAGGCCTGCGTTCCCCTGTCACTATGGCAGCAGTGGAAGCTCTTATGGCTTCTAGTCTTTTGCCATATGATGTGGTGAACCTTATGCATGTTATTCTTGAGCCCGTACAATACACCCTGTGGCATGATGAATGGGATAGATTACTTGAAGCTGTGGTGGCTGCTGCCACCCGTGACCCCCGCCATCCAGCCAACGGCCAGCGCAGAGGCGATAGAACTAATCTTGCACGTCTCCAGGGCCGGGCAGATGGAATGGTGGGATCCCCGGAGGGCCAAGCAGCGATGCTCAGAGCAGGAGAGCTGGCAGCCGTTACAGCTGCAGCTCTTCAAGCCCTGCGAGAATTAGCTAAGGTTGCGGAACCTGTGCTTCCGTGGGCAGATATAAAGCAGGGCCCCTCTGAGTCATTTTCTGATTTTGCGAATCGTCTAATTCATGCAGTGGAGGGATCTGATCTCCCAAGGGAGGTCCAATCCGCAGTCATAATGGAATGTCTTAAGCAGAAATCATTGCCAGACGTCCAACAAATCATCAGAGCAGCACCGGGCACCCTAACTTCCCCAGGGGAGCTTATTAAGTATGTGTTAGATCATCAAAAGGTCGCACCTTTAACTAATGAGGGATTAGCAGCTGCCATGCAAGGAATGGCTACTTCGGTTAATTCTGCAGTTAAGACCGCGATAATGGCAGTCACTCAGGCTGGGGGAGGAAGGGATAAAGGCCCGTGTTTTAAATGTGGGCAACGTGGCCATTTCAAGGCGCAGTGCCCTATGAGGATGGGGCAAGGACTAGAGAAGCGGTGCCAATTCTGTGGCGGAGCCGGACATGTCGCACGTCAGTGTAAGAAAATTAAAAGTATGCTACAGGGAAACGGGAGAGGGAGGGTGCCGATGGCCCAGGACCCCTTCCCGTCATCTCTAGCTGGGCCAAAAGCACAACACCCACAGTGGCACTAACTATGGATTTAGAGGAACGACCAATCGTTACGGTTAAGATGTCATACGTGGATTCAGATCTTCCACCATCAGTGCCCAGAACAGTAATTTTTATAGCTCTGCTTGATTCTGGTGCAGATATTACTGTTATCTCAGAAGATGACTGGCCTCGGCAGTGGCCTGCGACTTTTATGTGGAGAGCGATCGTGGGTGTGGGGGGCGATGTGCCCACCAGAAAGGCGGACAGGGTAGTAGAGCTCGCGATCATCAATGATGATGGTACCATGGAGAAAAATGTACTTATCCTCCCTACTTTAGCACCGATAGGAGGATCCATACTAGGCAGGGACTTTCTTTTTGAACTGGGAATAAAACTGACAAATTTATGATAAGGGCCACTGTCCATCATTTAGCGCTGCAATATGCGATTCCGTTGCGTTGGAAACGGGACGTGTCTCCCGTTTGGGTGGATCAGTGGCCCCTTCCTATTGATAAATTAGCAGCGCTTGTGCAGATTGTTTCACGAGAGCTTGCTGCAGGACATGTAGAACCGTCACTCAGCAGCTGGAATACACCTGTTTTTGTAATTCGGAAAGCATCAGGGTCTTTCCGACTGTTACATGATCTCCGAGCAGTCAATGCACAACTTATCCCTTTTGGCCCGGTTCAGCAAGGGGGACCTCTACTTTCGGCTATACCGGAAGGATGGCCCCTGATGGTCATTGACCTTAAAGATTGCTTTTTTTCAATTCCATTAGCGGAGCAGGACAGAGAGGCTTTTGCATTCACTGTCCCGGTCCTGAACAATCAGGGACCTGCTCAAAGATTTCAGTGGAAGGTTCTTCCGCAAGGAATGACCTGCTCTCCAATAATTTGTCAACTAGTAGTAGGCAAAGTTATAGAACCTGTAAGACAGTCACTATCGAACTGTCAGCTAGCTCATTATATGGACGACCTGTTGCTTGCAGCGCCAGATGATTCTCAGCTGCAAGTGCTAGAAGAGCAGATAGTTAATGTGCTTACTACTGCTGGATTTGTTATTTCACAAGAAAAAATTCAGAGAGAACCAGGAATTGAGTTCCTGGGATACAGGTTTGGATCTGAAACGGTGATCCCAGAAGGATTAAAAATTAAACCCCATATTAGAACCCTGTGGGATGTTCAGAAACTAGTGGGGGCCATGCAATGGGTGCGAAATGCATTAGGTATACCTCCACGGCTTATGAAACCCTTTTATGATCAACTAAAGGGATCTAATCCTCAGGAAGAGAGACGGTGGACACCAGAGATGGAGTCTGCTTGGCAAGAAATACTAGTAACCTGTTCCTCCAATGCGCTTGCGAGGTGGAATTCAGACCGACCACTAGAAGGCGCAGTGACTAGGTGCCAGGAGGGGTCTACAGCTGTGATAGGACATACCCTTAGCTCTCGACCTCGCCCATTGTACTGGCTATTTTCTGTTCAGCCAACAAAAGCATTTACCTCGTGGTTAGAACAACTTTCGTTTTTGTTACGTAAAGCCCGTCTTACTGCAATAAGGGCCTTTGGAAAGGACCTTGATATTATATATCTACCAGGAACCTTTCGGAATGTTCAGCCTTTGCCAGAGGAGGTTTTCCTTGTTCTCTATGATTTCAGTGGTAATCTTAGCTACACAGACTCACTGCCTATTTTTGATCTAGCAAGGCCTCTCCAGATATCACTGCAGTGTAGAGTACTGGATACCCCTGTGGACGGCCCAACGATTTTTACTGATGCTTCTTCAGCTACTAAACAAGGAGTAGCTGTCTGGCAAGCTCAGGATGGTAAATGGGAGTCTAAGGTGATAATTGATTGTTCAGCAAGTGTTCAAATGCTTGAGGCCAGAGCTGTGGCAGTTGCATTGCGCCTTTGGCCTCAGACACCCTGTAACATCGTGACTGATTCTGCATTCGTGGCTAAAATGTTACTGCGTATGGGCAAAGAGGGACAGCCCAATACAGTAACTGCAGCCCTATTGGAAGATGCCTTAGTGGTTAGGTCAGAGCCTGTTGCTATCCTTCACGTCCGTAGCCATTCTGAAGTTCCAGGATTTTTTACAAAAGGAAATGACATAGCTGATCGAGTGGCTAAGAAGCAGGTGTATACCCTGCAAGAGGCTCGAGATCTTCATTCTACATTACACATAGGGGCAAAAGCATTAGCTCGAACATGTTCCATTCCTGTTACAGTTGCTAGGGAAATTGTGCAGATGTGTCCATATTGCAATTCTGCACCGGCGTTAGGGGCAGGGGTTAATCCCCGTGGTCTCACCCCATTGGATATTTGGCAGACAGACTTTGCGATGGAACCGCGAATGGCACCAAGACAATGGCTCGCAGTGACAGTTGATACGTCCTCTACAGTCATTATTGCTACACAGCACAGCCGTACTAGTTCTACAGCGGCACAACATCATTGGGCCACAGCCATAGCGGTTCTAGGAATGCCACGCCACATAAAAACAGATAATGGCTCTTGTTTTACGTCACGTTCGTCTAAAGAGTGGTTAGCTCGTTGGAATATCTCACATACTACAGGAATTTCAGGCAACTCACAAGGTCAAGCTATTGTTGAAAGAGCTAACCGCCTCCTCAGAGAGAAAATTCGTGTCCTGGGTGAGGGGGAAGGACATACAGGAAGAATTCCAGTATCAGAACAAGGGGAAATTTTGGCGCGAGCATTATATGCATTGAATCATTTTGAGCGTGGGGATAACACAAGAACCCCGATACAAAAGCATTGGCAGCCAAGAATTATTGAGGAAGGGCCACCGGTTAAGATCAAGGTGGATAGTGGTATTTGGGAATCAGGCTGGTCTATTTTGGTATGGGGAAGAGGCTATGCTGCAGTAAAAAATAAGAGTTCTGGAAAAATTTTGTGGGTCCCTTCCAGGAAAGTTAAACCTGATGTAAGTGGGACATGATGGAGAAAGCAGAGAAGTAATCAAGAACTAAGTGCTTTGTTTTCAGGCATTGCTGTTTGGAACTCGTCAAGAGAAAACATCAAACCCACGACCGAAGCCAAAGCCCGACTCAGGAAAGGAGGCAGATAAAGAGCCACTGATAACGTCGAGATCAATCTCTCCTGTGTTGTTATCTGTGTGTCTTTTGCTATTTACAGCTATTTCTCCTGGAGAGGGCATAACAGACAGCGACCTATGGCATGGTCATGAAGAATATACAGGAATGATGGGACCAGTGAACAACTTAACTTTGCTGACCGTAGTGTTACGTGAAAATAGACCATATGACAGAAGTGAATGGGGATGGGATAATGTCACCAGATCTCCACGAATTTGGGGTAAACTTGGGCAAAACATAGAAGTAAAATGTTGGATGGTAAATGGATCTCAATACAAGAAGGCTACTCAAATTTCAAAAACAGATATTATATCAGGCGTAAGGGATCGCAAATCCTGTGTTACTGAACAGGGAGATTGTCAGTATAATTTCACCCTAACCCAACCTGTAATGATAACATGCCTTTGGACACAAGACACCCTAGGACGATCTTTTAAATTTAAGGTGGATCTCTTTAATCAACATACAACTGATGTCCCATATATAACTTCCACTAGGAGACTGAAGGGTGTTATCTCTCCACAAATTTATCAAATTGGACCGTACGCTATAAAGAATACAGGTCAGCAACAGGTAATCTTTAATCCAACATGGTCCCTTAAACGAGTGATGTTATTATTGCAAACTAATGTTTCAGCTATCAAACCAGATTGTGCATTGTTTTTAGGCATGTCATATGCTGGATGGTCAGCATGGCTTCATCGACAGTCATTTGATACAACTAGAAGAATAAGAAGAGATGTTTCCGGTATTCTGGGAACAGGTTTAGGAGTCTTAAATGGTGTAGACACTGAAATACTCATGAGTAAATTGAATACCATTACAAGTAACATACATAAACTACAACATCCTCTACAGTCATCCCTATCGGCTCTAGGAACAGGTCAATGGCTTTTATCAGATGTATTACCGCAATGGGAAAGGATAGATAGAAAAGATCATCAGCTGATTATGGATGCGCTTTCAGCAGTCCAAGGTAACACCTCTTTAGCCCTCAGTTGCATCCAGGCCCAGATGTGGATGCAATTTATAGCAGCAACAATCGTGAGAGAAGGTGAGGATGGCACTATACCCACTGAAATTAGAAAAGTAATTTGGGACAATGCAAATAGATTTGAAAGGAAGTTTCAATCATGGTGGCATTTAGTTAACTTCACCTATGACCCTGTCACCAATTATGCCATGGCTTTCGTTTTGACGATAAGTAATGCTTCAGCATACACGATATATCCAGTCGTAGCTCTAGGATTAAATCATGATGAGACTACTCTGTATCCAATTGAACATCGGATATGGGCTCTTCAAAAGAATGAGAAATGGCAAACTGTGGACGTTAGCTCATGTGCCATGCGAGAACAACGAGGATTTATTTGTGAAAGTAATATATTTGAGACTCAAGATATCTGTCTTGACACTGAACAAAATATTTGTCACTTTGAGGTCCAACCCGGTAGGATGTTCAAATCAATGCTTGTATATATTGGAAAAGGATGTGCTTGCATCAGAACTCATTGCAATTCCATACAAATAGGGGATATGATTGTGGATACTGCCAATCATTCAAATCTTTGTGTTTGTAATTTTATTAACATTTTAGGATGTGATTTTAACTATACAGTTCCTATTATTTCATATCAGCTTCTGCAGTCCAACTACACTCTGATCAAAGATTTGCGTCCAGCGCTAATTGGAATGAATCTCGCCTTAGTAAGGAAGCTTCTACAACATGATGATCTGCATCGACTATTAAATCGCATCAAAGATAACGGACAAAAGACCTTGATCACCATCCATCATGACGTGAAAGAGATACATCGTGTCTTGGAGAGAGTAATGAAGGCTGGAGAACATCACTGGTGGGAGGTTCTTTTTGGTTGGTCTCCCACAGCAACGGGAATGTTTAACTTTATACTGCATCCGGTAGTTGTTATATTAGGTTTAATATTATTGTGCTTAGTTCTTATAGTTATATTATATATAAAGACATGGCGCTTGCTAAAGCAAGTGTCCCAGCTTGATTTAGTGTTAAATAGGGATACACTGCATCGTTTCTTGTAAGACTTATCTTAAGGCTAATAGATGGTTGTAACGTTAAGGTAGAATTTATATAAGATTTTAAGATATAAGATTTTAAGATTTTAGGATTATTAAGTTAAATAGGTTGTTATTAGGTTGTTATTAAGTTGATAGATTATAGGCTATTAGGATAGGATGTTTTGCGAATCGGGTTGTAACGGGTCAAGGCTTAACCGAGAGGACAATGGCATGTATAGGCGCAAAGCGGGGATTTCGGGGTGTACGCGGTTAGGGTCCTCTCGAGTTGTAGTATGCTTTTTGAGCATGGAGAGGGGGAGATGTTGTCAGCAACTGCGAAATTGCGAGACCCCCCCGCGGGGTCTGATGTGCTAAGCTCCCTCCCTGCTCTAATGATTGATGTGTGATGTAGGCCCCTAGGGGCGTAGACGAAGTAATTAAGCTATATAAGGTAGTTAATACGGGTAATAAACGCCATTTTACTGCTCATCATATTGGTGTCACCTCAGTAATTGGCCAAGCTGCGGTCTCCTGGGGAAGCGGAACGGGCGCGGACTGTAACAGGTGACAGAGACTCCTTTCTCTTTGGAGACTGAGTAAGCAGCTAATGCTTCATGCCTTCATTCCCACTTGCAAAAGTCTATTGAGAATCTTCACTGAGAAGAGACTCCAATCTGTTCTGATTCCATTTGTAAAATATTGGCCAAGTAAATACTAATAAATACTCCGCAAATCCCACGTGATGTTTGGTTCCTCATTGCTCTTTGTGAAGACATGAAAAAGGATCAGGCTTACTTTAGTTTGCATTCTGAAGGAGAGCTATTGCTACTGTAAAGTCTTCTATACAAATTAACATTGATTGACAGGTAAAGTACTCTTAATGCTTTTCACTTTTCTGTCTCTACTGTGAGAAACTGTTATAGGAAACTCTTATTGGGTTAACTCATCATTCTTGCTGCACATACAGAAGCATACTGAATCAAAAGTGTGGGACTTCAGTTAATTATCACAGTGTTTCTGATTTCCTTTCTAATCCTCTGCTAATTTTAACTCACGTGTTCTCACAATCCTAATGAGGAAAGTTCCCAAACAATCCCAAGAACAAGTTACTTCATGAGTTTGCCTCATTCCCAGCTATGTCCCAGCTCTCATCTTGTCTGATTCTCATAACTAGAAGTGCTGTTGAATGCTTCACTATTCATGTATGCCACATCTTTCTGTTCCTTGTGTTCTGCAAGCTGCAAATATATGATGTCATTGTTGTATTTTTTTTTCATTCTAGCTCATTCATTTCTTTCAAAAATTGCTTGTGTGATATGTTTTCCCAAAATTTCTCAACACAGATGACTGTGCCAAAGAACTTTGATAAAGCAAATATTTTTTAGAAGTGAAAAAAAGAGCATTAAAATATTATCTCAGAAGAATGAAAATGAAATCCATCTCAATATTATGCAATGAACAAATGAATTATTTGATATGATTACTGGGTATTTTTAAACAGGCACTGAGAACTCTGGGGGAATGCTAGAGAAAGGCCTGGACCAGGATTCCTTCCTAGTGCAGTACTAGAAGTGTACTCTGTATTATAGTCAATATGTGTACAGCAAGGTTGTCACTTTCAGTCTCAGTTGGTCTGACATTTAGAAATATTGAGTACACAGTCTGTGGACTAGAAGAGCTTCTACTGACTGTAAAAAAAATTGCTTTTTCTAAATTAAATACTCAAGTGGGAAAATGTATCAGTCAATGTCTTTTTTAATAACTGTAACAAATTAGTCTTCTATTCCATTGGTATAATGCTTACGCTTTTTCAGAAGTCCTTCTGAGTCTATTTACTCAGTCTCCTTGTCTAATGCACTTTATTTCATTCTTCTGTATGGAGCTGAGATATATGTTATGTAAATATATAATCACACATATTTTTACTAAACTTCAGGTACTGCAACTGTTTCATTTTTAATCTCAAATTGTGAGATTTAGTCACTTTATTTAATTTTGCTTGACCTTTCCAAGTCCATGTCCTGTCCTTACTAGTGCAACACATTACTCATTCAATTCTTGAGGCACAGGTAGTACTTTGGACAAATGCGACGACAGCCCATCCTCTAACAAGCTTACAGCTGCCATAAAAGATGACAGAAGAAGCTTGAGCTGGGAGCAATCAGTGAGTGATGACATTTGCACAGTATACACTCGAGGATGAATTGGCCACAGGTTATGTATAGATCATCATGTCCTTGATAGCATGTAGCCATGTAATCAGGATCTGAAAAAGGGTTCGAGACATGAAAGCAATGAAGCTTTAGAGCAAAATTCTTGTTGTGAGGATAAAGAAATAACTCATGCTCCAGTCCATTTGGCATATTTCTTTCTGAAAGGACTGTGTGAGGCTACTGCCTGTGACAGAGGGAGAGATTTTCCTGCTTTTTTTACAGTATTTTTGTATTTACCTAATGTGGACATGGGAGAGAAAGTGGCTTGGTAGGTGTAGGCTTGCAGAAGGTGATTTGTCAAAGCTGTGTGTATGAGCTGCTCACGTCCATGCATGAATGGACAAAGGCATGCTAGACAAGATCTGTCGAGAAAGCAGGCTCTTACTAAATGGCTTTCCAGTTGTTTTCCTGCCTGTTCTTGTGATAGATCTTGGCCATCTTCAAGAGATGGAAGCACTGGGTTTATTACATCAGAGATGTGCATTAAGTAAAATATTGCAGTGGACCAGCAAATTTCGAATAAACCCAGCAATGGCTGCCAATGTGCAGTGCCTGTTTGTACTGTCACGTAGTGCCAACTCTGAAAGCTTGCTGGACCACATTAAGGTAAGCAACAAAATACTTTACAAATAAGCAGTTCGTCATGGGTTTTGGAGAGCTGATAAAGGCAGGAATGAGAAGAAAGTGATCATATGAGCAGAGAAGGGAAGGGCAGCATGGCTGGACAATAATCCCACAGTTAACTAGGATAGGTTCTTCAAAAATGGTTTCTACTCAAGCTGCAAATAGTGTATTTAATAATAAATAGAACTGTTGGCAGAGTGGTGAGACCTTTTCAGAAAAAGAAACCAAATGATTTATTTTATTAGATAATGGAGGATGAAGTATTTGCACAGGCAAAGCATAACTGAATACCAATTTCTCTATAGCCCTCAAAACACTGCTGCAGAGTTAAAGTAGTGTCTTTCCTTCTTTTCTCCTTTGCCTACCAATTGCTTTTCAGCTGCGTACACACAAATACACAAACATTCATATCTTCCCACAATCTCCTTTGTTAGATTTGCATATATTTCTAGATTTGAAATAGCTTTTCCTACTGTAGAGAATAGTTCTGTACCATTACTGATAGCTTCTTAAATATAAGCATTCAGGTGGCAAGGACAGGGAACATCTTATTCTGCCTTTGTGCTTTTGTCACCAGTCATTCGTAGAGACTGAATCCTGACTAAAATGCAGCCCTCCCTAAATGATTGCTAGCCTAGAAAAAGAGACATCAAAATGAAAATCAGCAGAGGAGAAAAGTGGGGTTTGACTGCAACTTTTAAATTTTTTATCAGATTTCAATTAGGAAGAATTTTTTACATGTGAGAGGGAAATCCAGGGGCGAAGAAATTCATGGACAGAGAAATTCAGGAGTGCGTGGTTCCTGTACAGCGCCTGCTGTTTGCTTCAGAGCTCCTGAGTTTCTCCATGATTTTAGCTGTGTCTTGGTAGAAACAGGGCAGTCTTCACTGAACACTTCATTTTCCATCACTCTGCAGAAGCCGGGCAATTACGTTCTTAAGAACTTTACAAGCACCTCTACGT